TAATCGTTGTGAAGATCGTGTAAATCGGAGGGATAGTGAAGGTCTACTTCCAATATGTAGCCTTTTTCGTCATCGTCAGCAACGTCTGTGATGTCAAGTTCTGCGATCTCTTGGTCGGTTAGCCAGTCAAACTCACCCGTGGGTAGAGGTTGTGACATTGCCCAGCCGTAGAGGTTGTTAGCATCAAGATACATCACGTAAGAAGTCTCTTTTTCTGGGTCATAATCGGGTATGTATGGATTGTTAGCTTTACCATAACGGTTGCTAATCATTGAAATTCCACCGCGAAGACCTTCTTCGATGAATAGATACATGTCTGGATCGGTCAGCAGCTCGAGTTCGACTTCAGTCATTTTCAAACACGCTTGCCAGGCTAGACCAGGACTTGTATAGAAGTGGCAGGGATCCAAGTTGTAGGCTTTGAGGCATACGCTTCGAAAATTTTCAAACACATCCGCAAGGAGAAGAACGTCCGACGTCAAGTACAATCATGGTAATCACCCCATGTTCCGACAGGAAAACTTGTTAAATACATTCGTCGCGTGTGCGTAATCTTCGTCTGAAATATGTTCGTCGTTCAACACATTGTAGAAGGATTCCTTCGGTGGTAAGATTGGTTCTTCAAATCTCTCTATGCAGTCCATGTAGTCGTAGGGGTAGACACCTTTTCTTAGCAGAAGGGATATTTTGTCGCTGTCGATGTATTTCTTGAGAATGGGGAACTTTTCAACGCCGTCCTTTGCTAGATTGGATACTAACTTCTCCAACGATGCATTCATGAATTGTAGGGAGTCGATATAATCCAAATTATCGATGGAGAAGGAGATGTACTTTTCGGTGTTGTTTGGAATGCAGTTGATCTTCTTCTCTTTGAGTTTACCGAGTCCTTGCATGATGAGATGAGAATCATACCCACGTAGATTGTGAAGAATAACAGGAATTCGGCCGGTAAAACTATAGTTCAAATTGCAATCGTTGTGTGCAGCCCCACGGTACTTTCCTGAAAGATGACAGTGGTCGCGAACACGATCAGAACCCAATTCATATCCACAAATATGACAATGGACTGCATCTTGAAACGCTTGCTCTTCTTCTCTCTCAATTCGCATGGGTTCGACCCAATCCAGTTTCTCTTGAATATATTTCTGCTCTTCTTCTAAACACTTTAAAAATTTGTCGACTGCATCTTCTCCGCGATACACAACGGGTGGTTTGGAGTACTTCGCATGGTCGGATACAACAATGTAGGAAAATCCACAAGGTTGGTGGTGTTGGTATTTTTCAGTGAAGGATTTTTCAGGATTTTGTTTAACTAAGTTGATCTTGGTGGTAAAACTTTCGAAGTCGGCGTAGATTGCAAAGGGCACTTTCAACTGCTTGTGGTAGTCTTTAAAGGACAGTTGAGCATTATCTTCATTCGGGAGTTCAATACGTTGTGGACCGTGTTGAGAGCAATGGGGTTCGTGTTCTTGGAGGAGATCGTCTCGGATAAATCCATGAAGACAGTAACGACAGTAATACATACGAGCCTTTTTCCGGTTTTGGCTGTAGAGTAATTTATTCAGATCTTTGATGAGGCAGTAATGTCTAGTTGTTCCCTGGGAGTATAGTAATAGGTTTACGTGGGTATCAAAGTGTTCCTTTGTGATGTAGATGGGAAAGAGTACATCCTCAAAGCCAAGCACGTTCACAGAAATATTGTTCTGACGCTCAAATTTTTCAATCTTGTCAACAGTAACAGGAAACTCAATACCAGCCAAATCTAATTCATCTTGAAACTGTTGATAATGATGCAATCTTTCCGCATTCTGTTTCACTGGGTGTAGAGCGGCGAGGATAGACCACATGAAACATTTGTTATCAGAATTCTTCACGTTTATGATAGCTTTCTTAGTCTTTAGCTTGCTGGGTAGAGGGATATAACTGGATCCTTTAACTGGAGAATACTGAGCGATGCTCAGGTCAAGATGAAGGATCTCGTCTAATATCCAACCGCTTCCTTCTTTTTGAAACATGACCAATGACTGGATGATTTTCTGCTTGGCTTCGTCTAGTTGATTATCGAGTTCGTGTTGGGCTACTGTTTTCATACAATGACTACGGAAGTGGGGTTCGGTAGTCAAATCTTCACCGTCGGGTTTAGGTTTGATGAACCGTACTTTAACGCTATATGAACCATGTACCCCTCCTTTCTTTACCACAACTCTCGTTGGAAAGGTGGGTCAAAATCGGTTTGGTCTTGCCACGTAAAGAAGTGGGACACGTCCTGTTTCTGGTCTTTCCGCGGTTTCAACTCGATCTTCTTCAAGGAATCGTCAAAGCTGAAGTGGAACTGCAAGGGTTTTCTTCAACTTGACTATTTGGCTCACCTTCTTCAACTTGAACTCGTATTTTCTTTGGAGCTGGACTGCTATCGTCTTCATCTCGGTCCTTCGTCACACCCTCTTTTCAAAGGATTCCCTTGACATTGAGCTTGATGTCCCACTAAATTATCACGACGGTGAAACTCTTTCCTACAGTTTTCGCAGATATGTGTGATTGTTCCTTCGTGCCGCTTCTTATGCCGCTTCAAATCATCTTTCCGTGTAAAGGATGCGCTGCATTGATCACAGACAAACTTCTTCTCTCCATGCACGGACCGTTCATGACGAGTTAAACTTCTCAGCTGCGTAAAGTTCTTGGAGCAGGTTTTGCATGTAAAAGACATTCTACAAATAGAACATTGAATTCTCCAATTTAGCAACTGCAGCCATAGATACATAAACACAACACGTCAACACCTGTAGCATAATATAAACACATAACCTTTAGCATCTTATTGTGGGAGAATAAAATTAAAACATCACGCATGCGCAAGTAATGGCTTTGTCGTAAGACAGCCCTAAATAAACTTCACTGACTACAACCACCAGTTCGTTGCTAGACATTCCCTAGCGGAAACAACTCAAACCAGTGACTCAAACTAGTTGAAATTGTAAACACCTACCCCTCAATACAGCAAGTCTTTGGATTTCAACTTCACGATGATAATTGGCAACTTTTAATCAAACTACTAAATATAAACAGAAAACTTTTAGCATCTTATTGTTGCAGAAGTACTGAATAAAATTTGTACAACCACCGCTAGTTCGTTGAATGACTTTCCCAAGGGGCCCCTCAGATTCTTTCTTCATAGGTGCAGCCGACAGGGGTACAGCAACACTTAGAAGCGATTTCTTCGAACTAGCAACTAAACCCGTTCGTTGCATGACTTTCCCAAAGGGCACCTCAGATTCTTTCTTCATAGGTGCAGCCAACAAGGGCACAGCAACTACTAGGAATCGGCTTCCTTGCACTATTTAGTCCAACTAAACCGTTCGTTGCATGACTTTCCCAAGGGGCACCTCAGATATTTCTTCATAGGTGCAGCCAACAAGGGCACAGCAACTACTAGGAATCGACTTCTCCGTTCGTTGCATGACTTTCCCAAGGTGTACCTCAGATATTTCTTCATAGGTACAGCCAACAAGGGCACAGCAACTACTAGGAATCGACTTCTCCGTTCGTTGCATGACTTTCCCAAAGGCACCTCAGATTCTTTCTTCATAGGTGCAGCCAACAAGGGCACAGCAACTACTAGGAAGCGATTTCTTAGTACTTTTCATAATAATTGAACTAAATCTTAGTATTTTATAATATATGAACTTTAGTTAATGCATCTTACCTTGTCTAAGTTGTCTTTAATATTTCTCGCAAAAACTAATCGACGTTTGATTTGCAGGACGTATGAAGTTTTCGAATTTCGATCAAAACGCCGTATATATACACAAAACCTTCACCGTTTGACTGTGGGAGAAGATTTAATGAAATAGGTATCACGCATGCGCACTAACAACTATTTATTGAACGTGCTCGAACGTGTTCGTTCTTGTCTGTTCTATGGTACAATTTGCATTTTCACTCATAATATAAAATACTAATTAAAATCAAATATCTATTATTATAGATATTTAGATAGATATCTAGTGAAAGAAGTAAAGCTTTAGCTTATTTCATAATAAATGAAACCGCCAGTAACCCAATAATATAAACTAGAAATTGTAGATAAACAAACAGCAACAAAGACTACACTGAAATAAGCTAAACCTGTAAACAAACGGTATCGAAATAGACATAATTATATAAACTATGGATTGTAGATAGCGTGGGAGTAGCGCACACCGTAGCGCTCACAAATTACCTTTTGTAAACAAAGACGACAGCAATTTAAAATCTCTACAGATATATGAACGGTAACCATATCAGCAATATACTGTGTGAAATAAACTAAAATTGTACACAGCTAACGGTAATGAAGTACCCAGACACTACCGAACGATGTAGATAAATAAACGGTAGCGAAATCGCATGAAAATAAACCGAAATTGCTGAGTAACAAACCGGCAAAGCTCAAGTGCTCAACTATATTAAAATTACCTGAATAAATTAAAATATTTAAGATTCGACGACGTCATCGGCGGTGCATCGTGCACCGCCTGCACCGCCTGCTCCAGAACCCCGCTTCTGTATACTACTTATATATATATATATATATATATATATATATATATATATATATATATATATATATATATATATATATATATATATATATATATATATAAATATATATTATATATAATATTATATATAATATATATATATATATATATATATATATATATATATATATATACAATTTATAATATAAAAATATAGGAATAAAGATTGGTGCACATGGTACGCACGGGACTGAAGAATGGTTTCGATTCCCGGCCGACATTTCAAATTTTTTGAGCCAGCTTGCTCCGGCTTCGAACTTTTGGCAAACCATACCAATGAAAAGTTTTAATTATACAAATTTTAGAATGCGAATTCATCATGCAAAAAAAATAATCAAAGCACAGTGATTTAGTCTACATTGTTGTGAACAATGTGAAACATTTCTAATAAACTAATAAATTCAAACTATATATAATTAGCTGGATGTCAACAAATCACTGTTCGAGCAAGAGATATACCATGGAACTACCATAGATTTACACATGCGTTTACGTGGGGGGAAAGGTAAGTTGCATGCAACCTTCGTTATAGAGGTAAGGATGAAAAACAATACCTTTGCAGTCGACTGTATACGCGCGTTTAACGTTATACCTGAAAATCGTCAGTTTTAGCATACTGAGGAAGAGATGACTCTTAATAAAGTTTCTCTAAAAATTAATAGAAATATTTATGTTTAAGTTAACTTCGTATACCCACATTCACGCTCTTCTGATTTAACAATTGCATAAAAATAGGGAAAGGCAAAAAGCAGAAAAAAAAGAAACCTAGAAAAAAAGACCTTGACGATAGTGAAGGTAGGTTATTAGGCATTCCAATTCCAAATTCTCTGCAAGTAAAGGCAAGGAAAGTTTTAAACATTTTAACTTGAAATAAAATATGGTTGTTTTCTTTTTCAAATCGCTGATTTAAGCTTACTATTTGCATGCTTGGTTATACGTGCATGCGTATCGATTCATTTCACTGACTGGCTATAGAGTTATAATAAGTTATATGTTTATGTTGTATAGAATGAACGTTTTTAAATTGCGAAGTTACAGTGATTCAGCGCGCTAGATTACAAGATGTTTTAATGAAAAATACATGTCATTCGTGACTTAATTAGGAAACACACATGCTGGAGTAATCCTATACCATTCATTTTGGTAACGGTTTGTTTTTGCTGTACATTTTTTAAAGTGAAAAATCCTCTCTCGTGGAGCAAACAAGAAGTGGCAGAGTGGATTTCCAAAGTTTGCAAGGAAGATGAAATAGATGAGAGTGAGGTGGATTTGCTTCAAAATCAGAATGGGAAAGGATTGGATGATTTACCAGAAGAACTTTGGATCCGAAGATCTCCGAAACACGGTGATAAATTTTTCTTGCTGTGGCAAAATCTAAAAAAACGTCATGGTGTAATAACGAATGAAAAAGATGAAAATTTAAACACAGGTAGATGTGCTTTACTTTAGCACTATTCAGTAGGCGGTTCAAATGCAGCCATCATATCATAGCAATAAGTTACATACCTTTAAAAACAGAGGCAGTTTAATATATGACTGACTCACGTTCATATATTTAACAATTATTGGATGAGGTTGAGTGTGATATCGAGAATTATCAAGCCGAATTAAGTTTTCGTTATCCGCCGAAAGTCTCAAAAACGTTTTTGAGACCGAGTGAAATATTTGCCTATACGGACCGACTAGCTGGTAAAAAATAGATTTATTTTTTTCTTTCCGTCCCAATTCATATTTTAGCGTTGGCTCTGTGCTTTTAAATCTCGCGCGATCCGTACTGCCTCATATACGGACCGCTCGCGTAGCCAATCAGATTGCAGGAAACGCTAAAATATGAATTCGGACCGCAAGAAAAAAATTAAACAATAAAAACAAATAATTTAATTTCTTGCACCTCGGAAAAGCAGTGTGTTTAGTTGACCCTCGACCGCTCGTTGTTAGATGTTCGCCAATAACTTCGGTCTCGGGTCAACAAAATACACTGTTTGCTTCGGCGTCAGTAAATAAGTGTTTAATATTGATGATTACATATCTTATATATAGGGGAAATAATTGCTCAAAGTTTCATTGCAAAATTAACTTTCCAATTACCTCGTGTGTATTATATGTCTCGGCAGAATACTGTGAAGTTTCTTCTGAAATGCTACCAGAAACAGAGATTGCGGAAGAGTATTTTGGGGCAAGTAGCGAAACGAGAGCTGATGTAAATGAAGCTTGCAGGTGAGTTTTTTAAATTCCGTTTTTTTAAGATGAGATGAGATGAGATTGTATATAAAAACTCGTACTCATAGTCAAAGTGTGTATAAAAACTCGTACTCGTAGTCACTGCTCAAGCTTCCTAATCGTCCAAAAAATTGAAGCCCAATCAAGCTAATTTTATAGCAAAAAATTATCTATCACAAGAGATGCCAGTTTTTTAAAAGAAAAAAATAATGTTTCAAGACGTATTAAGTACACGTGTGTATTGCGCATTTGCTTTTCACAATTAATTTTAATTAACCGCTGTGATTTAACCACGAAGACGTATCTTTTTTGCATTTAATAAAAATCTTTTAATGTTATAATGTTTATGGGGAAAAAATTCTTTTTTCGTCCAAAACCGGAACCCATAGTTTGTGCAGGACCTCATAAATTATATTCATGAATTTTACTCTTTAGTGAACTAAATAGCTCAAATATTTTCTTTTTTAGCGCAGGCGATACTATAGGTGTATTTGGAAAAGTGGAAAATCTAGCATTATTTGAAAATCTGGAAAGTCTTGAAACATTTTCAAGCGATGGTGCATCTCCAAGTCCTGCGTTTGATAGTGTTATATCGGTGAAGGGTTTATATGAAAAGAAACAATTATTTTCTTTTGATAATGAGGCCACATTGGTCATAGGAGATGACAGCCCTATGGCCTCCAGTGTCTCTCACAAAATGAAAATTGTTATTCGCAGTGACGAATCAAGCACGAAGTTGAAAACATGCGACGTAGAAAAAATGTTGAAAGGAATTCGTCCCAATATGCATGTGGCGGTCACAGGGAGGGTTGAACGCTTAGAAAGTGAAGACGAGGTGACAGCAGACCCTCATTGTGAAATGATAAGATTCAAACTTGTTGTTGATTCAGACAACTGTAACTTGGTCTACTCTGGAGGGGTAAGACCCTCATTCAGTAGACAATTTTCACAACCTTGGTGGATCCAAGAAAGCATCGATTCTTCCGTATCTTGCTGGAATTTGAAGGCAGGTGATCGTATTGAAAAAAGATCAGAAAGGGTTTTTTGTGAAGCAACAGTAACGGACGAGGAAATTCTCAATTATGTTGTAGCGTTTAAAAACTGTTACGATGGAGAAATTTTTACTGGTGTCGATAAAGATGGAAAGGTCACTGGAAGAACTTTTAGTGACGGAGAAATGGAAAATTGGCGGGAAAAAATGTCTATGGCTATAACGAGTATACTCCCAGATTCCAACGCGGCTATCTGCTTCAATTTGGATGAAGCAGTTGATCTTGTACACGAAAATAAATGCTTTGTGTGTGTTTTACCTCTTTCTGAATTAAGAAAAAATAGAAGTGGCGGCAATTTTATTGGTTGGATTCACGTACCTAAAGGGGAAACAGCACCAATATATTTCAGGAAAGAAAAGAATATCCATTCTTTTATACGAAAAGGAGCTGAAAATAAACGAATCACAAATTACGAAGAACTCTTTAGTTCCTTGTACTCACTTGGAAGTCGCCGCAAACCAAGGGAAATTTCTGTGGAAGATTTAGACATCGAAACAAAGTACAAGGAATCTATTGGACATACTGGATTGCAGTTGAATTATATGGTTTTAGAACCAATAAGGTAAGAATACAATAATTTATGCTATATAAGTACTAATAAAAATAATTCCTGAGCCCGCGCGGGGAAGTGCCATGTAAGGGTACTAATTAATGCTACCTGTGACATGTTATGTTTTTATCATCATCATTATCAGACAATTATTAGTTCTTTTTCTTTGTACTATATACTGAAAACTTCTAGTACTATGTTTTACATTTCTAAATTCTGCACTTAAAGTTTGTGAAAAATCCGTCGGGCGGATCGGGCTACCAAGATCTGAACCGTCGGCCGTTTCACCCTGGCTCGAATATATAAATATGAACGAGTATATGAATGTACACCCTCCCCAATAGACCTTTTCCGCAATTACGTCACAACAGTTTAACATCACGACGTTTTAAATTTAGAACCACCTTAAGTGAAGTGGATTTCAAGTTTTACTCTCAGGAGCCACGTGCAAAGATGCAAAACATCCTTCTTTAACACATAACAATAATTCAAGTTAACTATACCAGTTAATCTATTGTGAAAACTGATAGTGCTCATTCCAATTTATATAATTATGCAAAATATTATTTTATCAGATTTTGTGAAAACCAAAAGAACGAACTAAAGATGATCTTTGGACACGATCCTGTCAAAACGATTGTTGATAAATACCTGACAGAATACACATGTGGGTTTCTTAATGGGTCTGGGGGAACCGTTTTGTTCGGTGCGCAAGAAGCAAAAAAATCCAAACTTGCCCATATTGTGGGAATAGTTGTGCCACCTCCAAAAAGAAGAGAATTGCTACAAAAAGCAGTTACAGCATTGAGTGAATTTTATCCACCAGTAACCCAAAGCCAGTTTCGTTTAATATTTCACAAGGTTAACGTTCCCCACCAAAACATAGTAAGAAGCAGTATGATCAACGAAGAAGAAAGTGACATGTTTGTCCTTTTACGAGGCCCCCCTGAAGAAATTGGAACAAAGTGGCCTAATTTTGTAAAAGATAAGTTAAAGAAATGTCTTAGTAGAGTTATTCCGGTGAAACCTGAGTGTTTTTGTATTGTGGTCGAATCCGAGGAAGTTCTCAACGACGTTGTTAAGATTTCGAGAGAATTCGTGAATCAAAATTCGAAATTTGCCATTGATTTAATCACACCGACCGACCTTAAACAATATTTGAAACATCTTTGCCTGATCGAGCTGAAAGTATCTCAATCTCAATACCCTATCCACCTCATAAGGCCCATTGAAACGAATGTGTTTGATAAGCAAGGTACTATTATCAACTTAACCACAGAAAAATTAATGAGAAGATTTGAGCTTGGCAAAGATTCCGAAAGAAAATTCGATGTGAATAAGTTTCTTAGTCATGTAGAAACGTTTCAACAATCAGGAAATTCATATATTCTGATCACTTCTCCTTTCGAGCTACGTGCATCCGAGAGAGACCTTCATGGCCTAGTTTTACCTCAGTGGACCCTAGCAATTGACTTTGACCAACATCCGAAACAAGAAGGTCATCTCTGTTGTATATTTAAGGAACTAAATGACATCCATCAACAAGAACGACAACTCTTTATTGCAACGCCTCAAAACACCAAACTTGGCTTGGATTCCGAACATGCTATCTGCTGGCTCGCTGCCAGGGGTTATGAAGAAGATGCGAAAACCCTTTCCAAACAAGGTGAGTTAAGATTATACAATCATTATGGCTACAACTTCCGGAACCATACCACTTTAATACTAATTGCAGTTAATCTATTTATAACACTTTAATTAACAAAAAATGTTCTCTTCTGGTTTTAATCCTACATGAAATTTTCATTCTTCTACGCCGTGGGATATAATAATTATAATGATGACTTCATTTAAAATTATGCTTTATCATATAATACGCAGTGTGTATATTTGTAATTTTTTTCTAAAAGCAGTTCAACACTCGAAATAGAATAAATTCTATATTTCCGGACATCCATTCGTTAGTTCTCTATCTCTTTATTATCATTTATTTGAGCGCAGTATATAAATCTATAGCAAGGAAATGTAGAACACCTATATCCTTTCATTATAAACGAATGTAGCGACAATAAATGTTATGTGTTTATGCATATTTCTTTACTTTTAGGAAACAGCTAATAAAAATTGTTATTTCAAACTCCAAATTAAGAGAGCTCTTAGCACTTTACATGAAAATTTAACATGGCGGCTTTTAAGCAGATATGGACGGAAATTAATATATAACTTTTTGTTAAACATCTGTCTGATTCAAAGCAAATTCTTCCAAAATTTAAACAAAAATTTGAAAAATAAAACAACTTATTAATTATATATAATTATATATATATATATATATATATATATATATATATATATATATATATATATTATATATTTATATATATATATATATATATAATATATATATATATATATATAATATATATATATATTATATTATATATATATATATATATATATATGTTATTGACTGAGCGAGAGGTCCGTACAGGAGGATACTGGTCGAGTTCTTTTTTCGCTTGTATGGACCGAGCCTTTAGGCGAGGTCCATACAAGCGAAAAAAGAACGAGACCAGTATCCTCCTGTACGGACCGAACAAGCTCAGTCAATAAACTATTTATTATATGACTAAAAACGATTAAAATTCCCAACTAAAAAATTCCCGCCGAACCTGGCCAGTCCGTACTGTTGGTTACCGACAGCTCAGGAACCAATCAGAATGCTTGATTTTAGTTGATGGACCGATGAACTATTCTAGTCATATAATAAATATTATTTATTGCTTTAAAACACTAACGACAGATTACAGCATAGCTGGTAATGAGAATGTACCAAAAAACATATAACAAAAAACTTATATTAACAATTCCTACACTATGTCTGCAATTCATTACCTTTTAAACCAGCATATATATTTGGATGCAAATGTAATGTCGACTCTTGGATCAAAGTTAATAGAAATAAGAAAACATTCCATGCATTATTAAGTATTATTTCCACCATAATTTATTATAACAAATATAATTAAATTATCAAAAATTAGTTTATACATAATTATATAATGTAAAACATTATGCACTAAGAATACAACAAAATTGTATTTTTTAGATCATGGCCATTGGAATATTTCGCATAGAGGACTGCTTACGTCATTACTCAAAGCAGAACTGCCACGTTACGTAAAACCAAATTATCTTAACATTTTGGTATTGTGGGACGATGGACAAGAGTCACTCATTGATTCACTGCGAACAATCTTAGAGGACTTGATCGCCATTAATGGCTATCGAACAGCTGTAACGATTGTGTGTTCCACGCCGGAGGCGAGTTTGGAAATGAGTGAGAATTTAGTACAACCTTTGCAAAAGAATTATTGGCAAATAATTACAAAGGACCGCGTTTACGTCGCCCCGCCGTATGTTCTTTCAAGACACCTTTCGTACACGCTTCCAAGTCCATGTGAACAAGAATATGATTACCAAGTGCCACACAAGAAAGAATACAAAGGAAAATATCAGGTATTTCCTGACATCTTACCACAAGGTCTCTCAAATAATATCTCGCGATTTTTGAAGATGATGTACATGAAGAAAGGAAAATTACCTGAGAAAGCTTACCTGGATGAGGAGCGCAGAAAATTCTACTCAGGATCTAAAATATCTGATTTTGGCTTACGAAACAAATTTGGAATAGAACGAGAAAAGTTAAAGGAGTTAGAAAAGGAATTTAGTGCTTTGTCAAATGATAGGAGATCACATGTTTCCGTTCTGTGTCTCAAAGTCGATCGCGGGGCTGGATCAAGTACTTTGTGCTTGCAGTTCTTGTATAAACATCATAAAGATTACCCCTGTGCTCAACTTCTAGAAATTGATAAAGAACTACTCGGTTATATCAGAGCTATAAACAGTGCAACAAAACTTCCATTGCTATTGTTTGTTGACGAAGAAATCTCGCACCCTCAGGATTTTTTGGACTTTACGAATGATTTGGTCAAATGCTACAATATAAATGTTATTCTTTTGTTGATTGTACCTGCTGAAGCCAAGAGGACGACAAACAGCGCTAAAATGAAAAATGTTGCGGATTCGCATACACTACGAGCATGTCCTTTTAAAGAGATCGAGCTGCGAAGAGAATTAACGGTCAACGAGATGGAAAATTTAGCAAAACACCTCGTAGATGTCAAAAGGGAAAAGAGTACTGTTTACACAAAGTTAGAAAAGTTAATGAATAAGGCCAAAACTGATAAGATAGTACTTACTTTTGCTCATTTTGGATTAACAGCTTTTGGACGTGAATTTAAAGGCTTGCAGCAATTTGTTGAAATTAGGCTGGATAAGGCTGATGAAAAACAAAAAAAAGTTCTTTCATTTTTGTCTCTTATACATATCTACACGGACTCTTATCTGCCAGCCTGTGCACTCTCCAGCTTTCTTGAAACAAACAGAACAGTTGACTTGGAAGAACAGTTTGATGATGATTACCTCCGCGAACTTCTCAGCCCGCCTATGGACAATAAAGACTCCCGTCGAATGTCTTTTCATGAAGTTGCAGAAGAAGTCCTTCTTCAGCTGGGACCAGAAAGATCTGGTGCCAATGCAGACAAGAAGTATTGGCAGTTCATCAAACAGGTTGCTGTTGATTTAGCAAAGGACGTTTTAAGTGTAAATATTGCAACTAAATCAATCGATCGCCTTACAAGACGCCTCTTCGTTACCAGCGAGTACGAAAGTGAGAAATTCTCCTCCCTTATACGCGCCATGAAAGAAGCTAATTTTGTTAGTATCGCTCGTGATACATTAACTGAGCTCAAAGATGTATTCCAAAAGCACCTGCCTTTTCGCGCTCACATCCTAGCGCATTTGGCGAAATATTACATGATTGTTGAAAAAAAATTCGACGAAGCGAGACCTAAAATCGAAGAAGCGATAAAAGACCAGGAAGATGACTCTTTACTGCAACATATTCACGGTGATATAATTCTTCGTCACGTAAGAGCTCTTAAGAACGAACAGATTAAGAGTGATAAAGATATCATGAATATTGTGTCATACGCGAAAGAAAGCAGCGACAGCTTCAAAATTGTCAGACGCAAACGACCGCACGATAGTCATGGCTACATGTCCGATGCTATGGTCCGCATAACTGTTATGCAAGCAGCGAAAAAATATCAAGATGGAAAGATACTGAGCAGTAAGAATGTAGTTGTTAGTTTTGTTGATTACTTGACTGAAAAATTGGAAGAAATACGGGCGAGAGGAAAAATTACAAAAGAAGAGCAATACCTAATATCCCTGATTCCAAAGTCCTATGGATTTCTTTACGAAGGCGTAAGCGACGATTTTGAATATAAGGAGGAATGGAAAAAACAATTTCGTAATTGTATTGGTGCGCTTTCTAATCTCAGACGACTTTGTGATAAAATCCGGGAAGTAAAGTCTGATTTACCAAACAAGAATTCCACATGGCTACATGAAATTCTTCTAGGTATTCAAAGTTTGAATAACGGATTTGAAATAGATAAAGAAAATTTAACTCCAGAACAGATCGAGGAACGGATTAAGGAGATCGAAGAGTGCGCCGCAGGTTTAAAGAACCCGGAGCCCGTAATGAGGTTTTGGATTCGATATTCACGTGATCGACAAAACGTTCCCCATTTGGACGTTGTGAAAAAAAAAGTGAAGGGTTGGTTACGCAGTTTACAGCGGCACAACAAGCCAACACTCAACGCCGAGTTTTACAAGTATGTACATATTAAAGACATTTTTATCAACAAAAACAACAAGGACGTGTAAACCACGCTAATAACATGCAATTGTGAATATCACAATTTTTCGGCTAAAGAGTTTATGATGATGAATATTTTCAGACCCTGCTAGATTTTACGGTTGCTTGGCAGTTGTCCTCACTAGTACCAAATCTGTTTCACTGCGACAACTTGTTTGAATTGAACGAACGACGATTTGACGTAGCGATAGATATTTTCATACGAATTCAGCTACCGATGCAAAATTGTATTTCAAGTAATTGAAATTAATTAGCACTTTCTTCTACTTGTGAATACAAAAGCCTCGGTGAATTTTTGAAACAGCGACGTAATTACCACATCAGCCGGCTTAAAACGCGTGGCATACACAAATGCACTCAGTTGAATCTGATATATACGTTCTAGGTACGTTGTGTATATGTTGATAGCCTTGCAAGATTCAAATGATGACGAAAAGAGAGAGAAAGTAGAAAGTATTCAGCCACGCAAAGTACATAAAAAGGACAACGTGGTTATACCACAGGAATGGCTACATCCTCGGAATGGGCATCATATAAACTCTATTGATAGCCTCTTACATCATGACGATCTTGTCCAGGACAAAACTAGTACACGTGGTTCCCGGAAGCAACAGCCTGGTCGGGAAGTTATCGAAGGTTACCTAAGACAAAAAGGAATCACAAGATGGACGGGTACAGTCACTGACGTTCAGAAACTGTGGATAGGAACTATTACATTCAAAAAATATTTTGATGTTCGTTTCATACCTCAGAGTGTGACTACTGGAAAACCGCAATCAGGGGAAACAGTCTCCTTCTGCCTAGGTTTTGATAGGCTTGGTCTGAGTGCTTGGTGGGTGAGACATGAAGATAGTCGCAAGGAACCGTTAGAGGGAGTGAAAACGATTAGTTATCATAATAACGACGAACAATCGACAGACGAGGAAGAGGAAAGTAAGTCTAATAATGAAGCGTCAACATCATCTTTCACTGTTAGTTCAATCAATGCCGACGAGAAAGGGAAGCCGTGGGATTGTCAAAAGGGCAAGTGCTTGCATGGGGTTGTTTTTTCAACCTACTCAGAGAGAGGGTTCGGATATTTGAAGCATCCAGATGTTCACGGAGAACTGTTTTTTCACGCTTTGCAACTCGCTAAACCTGTAATTGCATTAAACGGAAGCATTGAAAGATTTATGGTATTGTATTTCAAAGTTGAAAAACTATCGGAGAAGAAAACTCGTGCCAGCGATATACATGTGGTTAAGGTTAGTTTTTCTTAATGTTTTTTTTAGAATTTTAGAGCTAGGAAGCTTAATTTAAAGGCTAAAGTTTTGGACCGCTCCAATTGATTTGATAGAACCATTTAGTATTTTCACTACAATATAATTATTATTATTAATCAAAGGGTGACGATATATAGGCTTTTTACAGGTTTTCCATGATCTAAACGAACTCTGTTTAAACTTCTCACTCTCTCGAAGTAATCACAAAGCGGTTTGAAGAGATTAATACAAGATACTTTTTAACTGTGCAAATTATACGAAACCTAAACCTCGTAAATAGTTGCAACAAATTGAAAATAAAAACACTGTTCGTATCAATATTACAAAACCAGCATTTGCTGTATGCATATCACCTAGCTGCATGTGTGAGATATAAGTTACACAAATTTTTCATTAAACATTTTTACACAAGGATGGTTCTTTGCAGTGAATCGAATCAAAAGCATGAGAGATATTTAAATTGTGAAATGATTATATTTACAAGTGATTAAAGGTTGTACATGCTTCAAATTGCGAGAAATTTTAACTTTTACCCTTTACCAGTCAAAGTACAATATAAGATATCTTAAACAAAAAAATTAATGGAAAATCTAATTGGTAAAATCGTCTAGAGCAAAATCATGTTTTAAGTCATTTTTTTTCCTTTTTACTCCTCTGCTATATACTGATTGTTAAGCAAAGGACAATAAAACGAGGCTATAATCAAGTTTCTTTAAGCTGTCTATGACCAAATTTCGAATTGTTTCCACTTCAAACACAGTTTTTTTTGCAAACGGTATCAGTACAACAGAACAAACATAGATCATCTTACACCCGTGTATTAAAATTGTGCATAAAAATATAGCCAAATTTCGCCTGCACTTCTTTTCACCACAATAGAAAAATAAACGGCAAATTTTCAAATTCAGATAATCAGCAAATGACATGTTTTGTGTAACTATAATATTGATTTGATCACCCTCTACAGGAAGAAGATATTCCACAAAATATTTTAGAATTTCGTGAAAAACTGTAAGTAGAACCTGCACTGTAATAAAGTATTATATCTCAACTGTAAATTATCCAATCAGAAAGCTCGATTTGTACCACGTGATCAGTCAATTAATCATAGAGCTCCATCGAATTTTCCTCACATTATACTATAAAAGTCGAATACCCCGCTGTACACAGGGTTTGCGTGTACCACGCGTGGATGCCTCGCACACGACTAGATCGAGGCTGTCAACAATTTCAAAATGTAGGGAAAAGATATACTATATTATACAGTTGTTTCGATATAATATATAATTTATAGAACTTCTGCTCGGGGAATTCGATGAAATATTACCCCCTCGGGATATAACCTTGGGAAGATATATCTGCATTGTAATATTTCATCGAATTCCCCCGCGCAGAACGTCTATAGATGATAAATATTACGTGGCCCGTGGAGCGTATAAGAAAGTGAGGGGGGGGGAGGTAAATCCTAAATTTTAGGCAGTCAGTTATTGTCTGACTTTTATTTCAATACTTTTGGCCGCCAAAAACCTAAAATTTTGTATTGTTCAATTTTAATTTCCAATATTTGAAAAATTATCTAGTAAGCTGTGCCCTTCACCGCGCAGGCGTCGCAAAGAGATCAAGCCTCCAGAAAGAAAACCAAGTGACACACAAGTAACGGAGACGGGAGTAGTTCTTCGACATTCCAAAGATAAGACATACGGCTTCATCAAAGCTGACAGTACGTCATATCAAAATGATATATTCTTTCATCTAAGATGTTTGGCAGAAAAGGGATCTTTCCCAGACATTGGGCAACGTGTTTGGTTTTATGTGGTTGAGACAAGTAAAGGCTTAGAGGCGAATCCGCTGTGGGTTAAGATGGAGGTAGGCACATATGTTTTATCCATGATTGACTGATAATCAGTGTATACAATAATATTCGAGTTTCAAGTTGAAATTTGTTTACAGCATGCACTTTCAATAAATAGGCTGATCAGTGATATCAAATTCACGATGTTTACATATGTTTCATCAAGATGTGTGTAATGAATTATAACTTTATATTGTTAACAGCAAAATAACATAGCTCTAGAAGTAAACATGAAGACGATAAGCATTATTCTTTATTATGCTATAGTTTCACAAAAACATATTTTCCTATTTTCGAAATTAATAGCGTGTAATAATTTCTTTGCACTTCCCGTGGTAACTATTCAATCCTTTTCCCCAAGTAGTAATTACAATTCTGTACGACAATTAATCACTCATTTTGATGTAATAGGGTGCATTAAAAAGATCTAATCAAATGTTATGACGTCACACGTTGGTCATAACGATTTTGCACATGGCAACTAGACAATCGGAGACCGTGGACTCTTTTAAATAAATAATAATAACCATTATTTTAATATGTGCACGTTTAATTTGATGAAAGTAACTTTATTGGTTTTCTGTTGTTTCTTATTCGCACAAACGGGAAATATTAGGGGCGTAAACTACGTGAAAATAAAGGACGATTTACGTTATATTAGCAAAATTAATGGCATGTATAATTGTTGATAACACGTTTAATTTCCAGCTAAAACTTCACAAGCATTAATTGAAATAATTTTTTGGTGTGCGAGAATAATTTAAATGTATCCCCGTGCATGCATGGCAGACAGCTTTGAAGTGTGATGTATTGCTGAGAGTTTTGAAATCCATGAGATGTTCATGGACACGTCCGAATTAAATAGTTTTGCCTGCTCAGCATGCAGCTACGTATTTAAGCCGACTATAATGTATTTTTTAAGAGAGGAGCCACCGGCTTTTCCAAAGACAAATGGAATCGATAAGTTGCCAACGGGAAGCTGGATATTCATGGAGATATTGCAGATATTTTTCAGATGAAAGATGAAAGCAGGGACATTTAACAGTGCAGGAATTAATAATTTTACTGTAATAACGTAAATACGTATAACAATTGTATAATAATATTTTTTTAGTAATAATGACTTTGTAATTTGATAATCTTATCATAGTATTCCTAGTTGGACAATGCATTCATTATTGTGGTGGAAAACATGAAAGACTTCAATGGAAGGCTTGGCTATATTTTCAGAAATCAATATATTTTCCACCGGTTTTCTTCCAGCCTTTGCGCAGTCTGTGGAATAGAATTTTTATGTTTAATACCACGTTACCGGTAACCGCTAATTGTATCATAACGAATATATATTCAGTTTTGTTTCCATTCACTTGTCGTAAGTGTCGTGAACATGTTAAGGTGGCTCGTGTGATAGAATACTTGCACGTGTGTGCAGTCAACAACGACTGGATTAAATACTGCAGAAATGAGAAAAAAATTACATCCGGAATATTTCACATCGGTTAAAATGACTTTTTCACAACAATTACGACCCAATGACGAGTAGGCATAAGAATGTTTGAATTCAGTAATATATATATTTATTATTAATAAAAAGAAACCTCTCTATACTTGAATAACAAGCAGAGAAATAAAAATATACTTAAATACGCCGCTTACGGCTCGAAGCACTTTCTGGTTTTTATCAGGTGAGAGAAAAGTGTCGATCATTGCGAAAATATTTTTAAATTAAATAGATGAGCAGTTTTCAAATTAATATCAAGAAGATTAAAAGAGATGTCAGCAAACCAAGTCAATTTTGATATTCAGAGGTGAATTACTTCGTTAATATACTCAAGCGCTTCTGAACACTTCTGGGGCCAGTTGTTCAAAAGACAGTTAACTTAACACAGGGTTAACGCAAATTTTTACATCACTTTTTTTCATCGCTTGTTTCAAAAAATTTGAATTTTTTTCGTGATTATTTTCTTGCTTCAATAGAAGTCATATTTTCTAAACTTTGGAAACGGACAGCGGCTCAGAAGCACATAAACTAAAACAGTGGATTAGAATTTAAGCCAGGGTTAGCGATAACCTAGCTTTTAAAAACCGGTCTCTGTTCATTACTAGATAATCAACCAAAAATAAATGCTGGCTTAACTCGTTTTCGAAAAGCCAACTATGATGTCATGTGCAAAGGATATAATAAAGAATTATTTCATCCCCTCGAAGTACTGAATGCTACGGTGCAAAGATGCACGAGAATCGTGACCTTGATAAACCTCAGAATCATTCTCAACCTCATTGAATATTTGTCTATTGTTCAGTAACCGCTACCTTTGACCTCAATTGCCACATACTGACTACAATATATGAGATATTGCCAGGTTTTGCTCTAAATATTCAATCAGCGTTCGCTGGCAATTTTGTGGCATTCCTTTCAGATTCATCCTTTTCGTAAACGATTTTTCTATTCAATTTATAAATATTACTAAAAATATCTAAACATATAGTTCCCCCAATAGAAAAAGAAGTGCTCCGAAACGCTTGAGTATATTTTTAAAGTAGCTTTATTTCATCAAAATATAGATACACTGTATGCCACTTCGTCTACCACAACAGGTGTATAAGACATACTCAAATGCCACGGGAATTGTCGAAATTGGTGTCAAACCAAGTAAACTATTACGACAAAATTTAAACACCTGCTGTGGTCAACCAAGTTGCTAATTAACTAATAGGATAGCTATAGCTCACGTGACAGTCTAAAATCTTACGGGCGCATGGTTACAAACTGATCAACTGACCGCGTAGCGGGAAAAATCAGGAGTATATGAATTGCCGTTAACTTCGTTCATTTGGTACATTCTTATTCAAAGCATTATACTATAGAAGTATTTAAGCCTTCGAGCCTCGCGTGACCTTGATCATGATATATCTTGACGTTATTCTTAATCTAGTTCAATAATTTTTTATTGAACGCTACCTTAGACCTCACTTCCATAAAGTCTAGATCTTTGGGAAAGAAAATTTATTACTTGAATAGTAAAAGAGCTTTCTAATATCAAAAAGATTAAAAGAAATGTTAGTAAACCAAGTCAATTTTGATATTGAGGTGAATTACTTCGTTAATATACTCAAGCGCTTCTGAGCACTTCTGGGGCTAGTTGTTCAAAAGACGGTTAACTTAACCCAGGGTTAACGCAAATTTTTACATCACTTTTCTTCATCGCTTGTTTCTAAATTTGAATATTTTTTCCGTGATTATTTTTTTGGTTCAATAGAAGTAATATTTTCTAAAGTTTTGAAAACGAACAGCGGTTCACAACCACATAACAGTGGACTAGAATTTAACCCAGGGTTAGCTCTAACATAGCTTTGAAAAACCGGTCTCGATCTGCTCATTACTAGATAATCAACCAAAATATTTTTGCTATCTTATCCTCGAGATGCCTACTATGACGTTATGTGAAAAGCATATAATAATGAATTATTATGCATTACTAATGCAAGCTTGATTGTGATTGGCTAAAAACCTACAGATAATTCTCAATGTCTTCCACCTACAAGACATTGTAAATTATCCGTAGGTGAAGTAATTTTTTGCCGCTAGTTTGTTATCAATAATGGCGCAGGCTTCCTCTCTAAAAAGGAAATACATAATAAAACAATTATTGAATTCGATTTTCGTATGATATCGAGAATTATAAAGCCTCAGTTTGCATTATCAAATTATAACGTAAACTTCGGCTTGATAATTCTCGATATCATACTCAACCTCATCCAATAATTTTTAATTCTTTCATCCTATCGAGGTGCCGAATTTTTTGGAGCAAAGATGCACGAGAATCGTGTCATTGATAAAGGTCAGACTCGTTCTCAACCTCATTGAATACTTGTCTATTGTTCAGTAACCGCTACCTTTGACCTCAATTGCCACATATAGACTACAGTATATGAGATATTGCCAGGTTTTGCTCTAAATATTCATTAAACGTTCGCTGACAATTAACACCGAATGAATTAAAAATAGGTCACATTGGTCTTAGTCACAGGGCTAAGAAAATGCTCGCGACATCATTTGGGCGGAACACGTGAAGAAAAACATTCACAATATTTGTAACAAATAAGAATGCCTGATTTGCATATTATTGTTGAGAGAGAGAAAGTTCTCTATATTTATATTCATGCATGCATGAGGTATATAATTATAATTTTGTGGCATTCCTTTCAGCTTCATCATCTTCGTAAAAAATTTTTCTATTCACGATCAATTTAGAAAAATTACCAAAATATCTAAACATATAGTTCCCCAAATAGAAACGGAACTACGGAAGTGCTCCGAAACGCTAGAGTATATTTTCAAAATAGTTTTATTTCATCTAAATAAAGTATAGAGATGCCACTTCGTTTACCACAACAGGTGTATGTCTGTAAAACATACTCGAATACCACGGGGAGTGTCGAAATTGGCATCAAACTAAGTAAACTATTACAACAAGTTTTAAATACGACGAGTTTTAATTACGACAATCTCCGGAAACCTGGCGACGGTTACATTCCCGAATGAAAGAAAGTCGCGGGAAATCAAATTGATTAATATCGCACATTTTAAATCAGTTGTCCGCCGATAAACTTATCAGGCATTTCTGCATGACAACGGTTATTATACAACGTCTGAACAGGTGAACAAAGATTAATTATGCATAGTGATACTTTCTAAAACGGCCTTGTCTTGTTAAAATGCCGTACCTCGATAGCATTTCTCTAAAATATCTGAACCAATTTTTTCTTAAGATATCATTTTTGCTGTCAACGGTTTAAGAGTTTACATTAATGAATAACACATACCTTTGGACGGCTGTTGTGGTTTTAATAAAACATGTCAGCTTATATTTGCGAGGCAACGGTCACATATAACACTTAAACTGCACCTGGGCTGCGCTGGTACCAGTTGTATAAAAGACTAGTTAACTTTTAACTTTAGTTACGGACAAAATTGGCCATTGTGTATTTCTTTCAGTTTAAAAGGATTTAACTATGCAAAGTGTATAGTTAAAGAGTTTCATATACAACAGGTCAAGTGACCAACCGATGTGGCTAATTTTTGCTGTCAAAGAATTTATAACACTTAACTTTCGACTGTTATTGTAGTTTTGATAAAACACCCTCTTAGTATCCCATGGCAACGGTGACATATAAAATTTAAACACCTGCTGTGGTTAACCAAGTTGCTAATTATCTAATAGGATAGCTAGCTCACGTCACAGTCAACCGATGAGACCAACCAATGAAATGCTTGGGAATTACATGCGTGCCCTGGAGACAAAAGGCGATTGATTGCCCAAAAGTTTTAGTCAATTTCATCCACAAGTAAACGTCATATAAATTATATATCAACACATTTTAAGGACAAAACAGACCAACGAAACCAAGGCTAAAGACAGCATCACATATACGACAACGATATTTTTCATAGCACAAGTCAGTGGTAAACGACATGAAGGTGCACAAAATATTGCGATTTGATGCTTGCTTGATTACATGTTTCTTTATTGGACAAATATGGAGCAATGCGCGAGCCGAACCTTTCAGGAAGGAATGTGCTAGGAAAGGGATATTCAAGAAAAAACAGAAAGGTATAAGTTAAGTCTTTTTAGTATTATCGTATATTTTAATTAGAACATATGTAGTTCATTATCTTAAACACATACAGATAAAAAAGTAACATTATATTCATTCAAAACAAGCAGTATGAAGCTCTTGAAATATTTTTACTGTGATAACTCTTGAAATATTTCAGTTTCATTAATTAATTTTTCATTAATTCATTTTAAGAGGGATAGAAAACTCTTTTCTCAGTAATTCAGTTATAGTTGTTGTGTTATTTAGTAGTTGTGAAGGTTATGATTTCAAGGCCAAAATTTATATGAGTTGTGTTTGCTTCTTTCTATTTCTATTTAATTTGGGTTCGCAATTTTATTCAACTTATTCGAGCCATTTTAATTTCATTCGGTTATGTATACAGGAAATATAAAAACCCCCTGCAAATACCATAATTTGTATCCATGAGATCTTTTCAATGGCCGGTGCAACTAATTTCGCTTTTGGGACATGCATGGAAATACGTTTCCACGTTCAGTACTATCAAAGCAAGGACACACAAAGTGAATTAAAGTTATGAACTCGATTACGAATAGTTCAATTAAGAATGGCTATGAATGATTACGAATGCTGTTGTTAGCTGAGCCATTTCGTAACCGAACTAATTTTAATTCACTTTTGTGAGCTTGTTTTGAAAATACTCCACGTGGAAACGTACTTTCAAATCCCACTGAGAAGCGTAATTAGTTGCATCACGGCCATTGAAATTTTAATGCAAGATATCGTGCATAAAAATTATGGTATTTGCAATTTTTTTGTATACATATATCTAAGCCCTAGACTACGTCAAACATTATTAAGTATCATACTTCCGATGCCATTACATATTATCGCTGCACAACAGCATTCAAGACATGCATGCAAATTCGACCAAATTAGAGAACAACAAAATAATAACTGCATGCATACATGGTTGCATTAATGGTGGGTAAAGATATCATATAGGATTTCTGAATAAATATTGCAGTGGAAAGAGCCAACTATTCGACTTATTTTCACCACATAAATAATTTCTAAACATTATATAGCTAACATTTGAGGCCCTGTTTACACGATGCCGGAGGCCAATTTGAAAACGCAAAAATATTCTCCGTTAAAATATCTATAGCGAAAACGCTAACGTTACTTTTGACCCCGCAATACACCTTTATGTGTTTCACCTTCGTGTCACAGATGGGATGTCAAATTTAAAGCGGAAATCTACCAAATCCAAAGCAATAAAAAACAAGAATGATCGCGAATTTTGTTTGGACAGACGACAAACCCGAACTGCTGCTTTTGAGTAATGCATGTGTTGTTCGACATTTCTATTCGATGTGTAATTTTCAAGACTTCCACAAAAAGCATAAATAATTTCAGAAGAGAGCCAATCAATTAGCAACAGACTATAGAGGTGCTTACGTCATGGGACTGTCAACCAATAAATTGCAATGTAATGTGGGAAACACGTAGGAAAGATTAACCTCATTTTACATACAGATAGAAAATGTGTCATTTTACATAGATTGAAAACTTCTAAGATCTATTGAATTACCATTTAACGTGTATTTAATTTTGATGAAATGTTGTATACCTGTCTCTAAAAACTATAATATTGCAGATTCATCATTGCAAAGCCATGTCATTAAAACTATTGAGGTCAATCACCTGGCAATGTGTACAATCGCTTGTTTGGATCATGCGCAATGCAAGTCATACAATTTCCAAGAAACAGAAAACCCTCTGAAATTATGTGAACTTAGTTCTTCTACTAAGGATTCATCAAGTTCAGACGTAATATCTCGACCAGGGTACTCATATTACGATGCTCAGGTAATTGTGAATGAATTTTAAATCATGTACAGAAAGCCATAATGTACAAACGTTTATAATAGACCCTAGGTCAATGTTTAGCTTTACAGAAGGATTACTTACGTGCGCTTTATAGTTGGTGGCTTGGCGCTGAGGAAGAGCATTAATTTTTTAATTGAAATAGAGGGCTCTTGTAAGTTCAAAAATCGCAAGGAGAAACCATGATATACTACACAATTTCATCTCATACGCACTTACCCTAAACAGATACTACTCATATTCTTCGGCAATATTTCTTCTCCTCTTTTCGCTTTGAGAGGGGGGAGGGGAAGAAAGGGGGCAGTTTGCTCCAGGCCCTAGGAAATGAGAAAGTTGCATACTATACAGTAGAATGATTATAATTATTATGTATATAAGGGCATGATTTAGGAAAAAGAATGGCTATAGCTATTCTTCAACCAAATACCGGACTCTAAAAACTCGTGCACCATCTTTCTAATTAACACCTTGTGTGATTTAAAGACCTTGTTTTAGGCAATTCGTATCACAATAGCGTGAATACATGTATCTTTACTCTCTGCTAATATAGGATGAACCTCCGTGTTACTCATCTTGTCCAGGTGAAAAATGTGTTTACACCTGCTCAGGACCGCCTACTTGTAAATGTCCCGAAAACATTTATTACCCAGTTTTTCAAGGACGCCATTGTGAATACCCATGTAAGTATTCAATTGTCAAGAAAAATGGATGTGTGTTCGAAGTAATCAGGATAGTACCAAATGTGCCTTTTTTAAATATATGCGTAGTCTAGGTCATTATTTATCTCATACACCGGGTGTCCCAAGAAAAAGTACTCAGGTTTCATTGATAGTGACCTCTTAACCAGTGAGACCATTACATTGAAATAATTTCATTATAATTTTTAGAGGAAATGTGGATATAGATTTTGGTATATTACACTTAATTTTTACCTAAAAAAGCGTAAAATGGACTTTGAGGTATTGAAAAAAGTCTTTTTGAAACAGAACAATGACATGCTATTGTTAGGATGATCACACGACCACCAGAATCGTGTTATTTACTCATTTCAATATCTCCTCTCCCCAATATCTCTTTCAATATGTCCTAATTAATGGATATCTTTATACAGCATATTTTTCAGACATCCCAAAATAATGTAGCGATTTTGAAAAGTAATACCCCAAGAATTTTATTGAAAAAATACAACAAATAGCGTATCAAGATATAAGACAGTCGTTCCTCTAATTAATGCAGGTTGTTTCATTTCGATAACTTTACTCGATAAGAAACTTTTTTGAATCAAATTGGAGTACTACCTTTTGGGACACCAGTATAAATATAGGGCGGTGCCGTACGTACTCACAAGTGGAGTATAGTTAGCGGAGCTAAAATTTAGTTATAGTATTTCTATTGGATACTAACTCAAAGATTATTCTATTATGCATGCATTTTGGAGTCCACAAGTACTCAGATGATGAGTAGCCTCATTAACCGAGCGACTCAGTTGTCTGCACTCGTTTAAACTCGCGTGGCTACTGTATGAGACCTTAAATATGAATTTTCGATATAGACGAATGTGATAATTTTATTGCGCTCCAAGCTGATTAGTATAAACAATTTACCAACAAGGAAGAAATAAAACTTCAAACCCAGACGATTTTAAGCAATGCACTCTTAAGAGTTGTGTATAGCCCATTGCTTGCTATGTAATTAAATGCTTTTAAAATATTCTGTAAACAGCTTTGACTTTGCTACGGACAATGCTTTCTCGTCAAGTTGTAAGGTTAGAAAACAAAGAAAGGAGTACAATTTAAAGGCCGCAAGGGCTACCAATTTGTTGAAACTCTCAATTAACAAGGCGGATGATTGCAACAAAGGGTTTATCGCATCGTTCAATATTATGTAGTTTTCTTCCGGTATTTCAATACTTGCTCTAATCGCAGGTAAGTATACAGAAAATAAAGCATTGAGTAAAACTATCAACAAGTCATCAAGTGCAAAGAAGTCAAGGTTGCTTCTAAGTCATCATCTCAGAAAACAATTGTGTTCATGGCGAGAAATTTTGGACACGCACGCGCGGTAGATACACAGATTTCGGGAGATTCGAAACAATATGGCCACGCGAAATCACACGGCTTTATTAGGGTTATATTAAAAATGTGGCCTTACCTCTAAACTTTTTAAAAATGTGAAAATGTTCTATCTGATTCTGTTTTTAGACGTAAAACTTGATATTTTGATATCATGGATGATATTTAGATGTTAATACTTCTTGCGGTTTTGCAGGAAATAGCCAACGGCTATTAAAGTATAGAAAAACACCATTTATAGCGTCGAAAGTTGTTTTGACCGTTGAACTTGTAAGATTTTCGCGCGATCGGGCCACGATAACCAAAATGCTCTATCGGTTTTCTAAACTCCGAGCGATGATTTTGAACACCCATCAGTGCAAAAATTTGAAGAATATATATCTCTTGCGGTTTTTAGCTTCAAAATCAGCAAATTTCAACGTTATATTTTCATCAAAACTGACCTTTTTCCCCAAAAAACTCTTCAAAAAATAACTGAAATTGTTTTTCATCGTCCATATTTGCTAGGCAACCAAGCCTTGACTTGTTGCCATGGTTTTAAGGCATATTTGAACTTTTTTTGTCGCTTTTTAGGGTATTTAGAATGTGATATATCGTGTGTATTTCACTTGTGATTCGTTAGAATAAATTAGAACAATTTATTCGTTAGAATAAATTAGAACCCCCCTGTGCGTGTCCAAAATTTCTCGCCATGGTTTTGAAAACACTTAAACCGTATGAATGTATAAATTATAGGGATGAATCCCCAAAGAAAACACAGCATAATTATTGCATGGCTATTCAATTTATTTGTAAAAGGTCGAGCCAAACAAAAATTGCATAATTAAACATGTGAATAATTACAGAGAAATTCATTGAGTAAAATACCGCTACCCGTAAACGTATAAAAAGAAACCCTAACATCAAATGTGTTATAGTTGAACGTCATTTCGACATTATTTTCATTAACCAAAAGTTAAGACCTTCGTAATTCTGTAAATTTATAAATGTGTACAGGCAGTTTGGTACAAATGTGTTTTGTTTTATATTAACATAACCCTTATTAACATAACTGCATAGTCGTTCGTTCTTGTTGAATTGTGCATGTTCACTAATAGACCAACTATGCCGGCATATAATTTACACACAGACGAACTAGAAGATGAACTATCATCTTTCGCTTTTCGTCGTCTAAACCGATGATCCGTCCCTAGTATAAATGCAATAACTACAAACGTGTCAACGAGTAGGTAGTCCGACGTATACTGTTCAGCAAGCATGGCAAAACTTAAAAATAAGATAGCATGCAATCAACTTACGTCTAAGTCGATATCGCCAGATAATTTCGGTCGTTTACCACGCCATGAAACATGCCCGTTGCTTGAAATCTGTTCATGTCGTTCAGACGTCCACTAATCACGAAAACGGTGCTAGCTTTCAGGCGCGCAGAGCGGGCTTGATATCATATGTATGTGTATGTATACAGGGTGCATAAAAAAGAAGCCCTTTCGAAATTAATCTATATTGTTATAATTTGAATGCCCTGTCACTATGCTAAGCCATGGATATGTAAAACATTGTCAGCTTTGTGCATATATTACATATCTTTGTCACAAGCATGCACAACAGCCCTAATTTCTGCTCCTGAAAATTTGACATAACTTCTAAAATCAAAATTATTGACAATAATGCATGGTCAGAAATGTCTCACATTTATAACAGGCGGTAAATTTACTTGCATGTATAAACGCTTCTAGTCAGTTTATAAACGCGAATATATGCATAGAAAGATTCAACCAATTCCAAGGAAACTTGGTAATATCTAAGTAATTTCATTCACGCAATAGACATGCAAGTATACAGGGTGTCTCCAAAAAAAACGCAACACTTAAGTATGCAGAACACTAATATATACAGGTCTAAAGCGCAATAGATACGCACCTTTGGGAATTGAAAATTGCTCTTAATCCTTCATTTAAAATGCTAAAAGTTATTTTAGCTGAACTACAGGGTGTCCCAAAAAAAAGTCCCCGCTATTGAAATGAAGCTTTTGTTGGAATTTGAATGCATGATCAACGCAGTAGTGTGTAAATAGCATATTTATTAGGTTGAGGCATTCAAATAAAGCGTCTTGCTTTCAATTGGGTTTATCATAATATTAAGGCAATCAGATTCGAACAAAGACTTGATTTCAATAGAGGGGACATTTTTTTGGGACACCCTGTATGGTGCAAACCCGAACAATATCAATATTCTTGCTATTTTTTTAGACACCCGGTAGACAACAAGGCTACCAATTTTGTTCTATGCTTAGATTAGCCAAAAATTAGCCAATCAAATAGTGTTCCTAAATTTGTTATGAAACCACAAAGCAAAGCGTCGCAAGGTCAAGGAATAAAATTGCAATGTGTTTAATAAAATCACTATTAAGTGAAGTTCGAGCAATTACTTTGTTCATGTCTTTTCCATTCAGTAACTACTCGAGAATTTGTAATGATTATGAATTCAATGTTATAAATGCTTAGGCTAAAACGGCAACAGCTAACGTTGTGGTTCGAAATTTCAGGATAATCCTGTTTTCTCCTTGTAAGTTTTAACTTATCATATAATTGGATACCTATCCACTCCACTATCCACGCTTCGTGCAACGCGTTTTTATCCAATGGATAACTGTCCACTAGATAGCAGATTAATTTTATCCGTTAGATATACTTAGCCGTTGCCGTTGGATAAGTTATCCATCTTTCGAACAACTGGCCCCTGTACTGTATGCGGAATTTCAGTCGCATTGCATTCATGTATGCAATTCAAGATGATAATAAAGCTTAATGTTTGACTCGCATCCGAATCGACCAAAAATGAACGTATACAGGGAGTCTCAAAAAAATGCAACACTTAATTAAATATGCAAGAATATTAATATTGTTCGGGTTTGTACCATAGTTCAGCTAAAATGACTTTTAGCATCAGTTTAAATGAAGGATTAAGAGCCATTTTCAATTCTCATGCAGATCGAGGTGCTTATCTATTGCGCTTTAGAGCTGTATTAATGTTCTTGCATGATATATAAGTGGCTGCGGTTTTTTAGACAACCTGCATAAGGCCTCGTATAGTAACTGTCCCGATGTATACTAGAGACCGATCATCTGACGAACTTGGGAAAGCAAAAGATAGTCCGTCTTCAAGTTTGTCTGTGTGTAAACGCGGACGGATCATCGGCCGTCAACACGAATTTTCCGCATAAGTCGATTATTTTGACGAATTTGAATGGGTAGTTCGCCTTGACGCAAATTCGTCTGTTAGCAGGGGTGCATCCAGCACTAGTGCATAAATTTGCATTACAAAACAAAGTGGTTATTTTAAGCAGTTTTCTTGTGTCATGCAAATTAGGCACTAGTGCTGGATCCACCCCTGTCTGTCAGTATAAATACGGAGTGGTAAGAACTACAAAAATGCCTCATAAAATGGCACTTGTGCACTCTTTTTACCACATAAATAATTTCCCAATTCTCGCGACCGTGCTTTTAGGTACAGTATGGTAAATTAATTAGTGCACTTTCCCTTCACCTGTCGCCATTTTTACAAAATCACGCCAATAATGTCGTTTGAATTATTGCATTGCTTAGATCCAGCATCGTGTAAAATGGTGAAAGACATAGGTTTTAATCAAGGCGATGGCGAATATCAACTGTATCTTTTACATCCCACCTGTTCAAAACCAGCTCGAGTGTATTGTGCTGATATGGACACAGAAAATCCGTTGGAATATGTCACATTACCTGCTGGCAGAACAACGAACTATGGTTTTAATAATCGTCGGCCACCAGGAAGTGCTCATACTTGGCAACATGGTAAAACTGGATACAATAAGGTTATCATCTTCATTATTCTCCTTCTAAACAACGTTTGTTTTCAGTGTTACAAGTTTTTTTGGTATTCACGCAATCTTTAAAATAATGTGCAGTAACTTTGCTAGGCCTTGATTGTGAATATTACATTTGAACGCCATCGCAATGGTATGAGCAGAACCGATGCGTAGAACGCACTCGACTTCCGCTTTAAGAATTGTCCTCCACTCGGCTATCATCAGTTCATGTACGACTAGAGCTCGTGGTGTATTAGACCTTATGCATAATGACGTAACAAGCCGTGACACCTGCTGGGAATTTTGGCCTTTTTGCCGTGACTGCAAAAACTAGAATTCCCTGCAGGCGTCACGGCTTGATACATCATTACACATTATGCAATAATTATTTATTAGTATAAACTTACTAATAGGCTATCACTTTTCCTGCGTTCTTATTGGCTACGCTACTAGTAGGCTATTAGTGATAGCCTACTAGTAGCAAAATTCAAAACAATGGCGGAAAATTCGCGTTTCGCCGAAGTATCTGAAGATTTTTTGGACGACTTGTTGGACAATTCCGTACCAGAAAAAACAAAAAAAGCAACAAAATACGGAATTGCAATTTTTAAGGGTAAGAAAATACATAAAAATAACGTATACTCAATTGAATTTTTATATTTAAACTGAATTTTAAAACATTTTACGCGAACAACAATTAAAATATTTTCTTCCCTTTAATATACGAAATAAATTTCAGTTTCAATATTTTTGTATTGTGTTTCCTAGTTGTAAATTAATGTTATAGTTTATACTAAAACAATTTTCGCCTCGTTGACTATTCGCTCATAGACAACTCCGCCTCGTTGTCTAATTGTTAATTAGTAGACAAGTATATATATATATATCACTTATCGCGAAATGTTTTACTTCGCTTTAGAAAACAGCACTGAGTTTGGCGCAAAAATGAAGAATTTTATTCTAGATCGTAGCTGTTCTCGTAGGTACTGATAATTGATAAAGCTCCCATTACCTGTACAATGCTGGTACTTAAGTTCATTAAAATACGGGAAAGTGCTACGCCAGGTGAAATCGTCTATGTCATTGCAAAGCGTAAGAGCGAATAACACAACTAATATTTGCCAACAAAAAGGTTTTTTAATACTAAATCTTAAATTGCTTTGGAACATTTAGATTCGTCTTAATGTCACCTCGTTAAACGTCATGATACAAGACTCCAGATTTTCTACACAAATGGAAGGAACGGAAGTAGTGGCATACGGAAGAGCGGATGACTGTTTGTATCAGCGTAGCTGTACTGGATTTGCAACAGTAAAAGTTGGAATCACTGAAGCGAATCTCGATGGAACTGATTTTCAATTTCCATCGTCTATTCCTTATCGCATTCATGCATGGCCAGCTTGTGCCAAAGTGTTGATCAATCCAACCATGAGTGGGGACCGAAAAAAATGGTCAGTTCGTTGTGGTGGTCGCTGTGGGAGTTGTCAGCCTGACCCTCTTGTTCTTCATGTTGATGGTTGCTAATGTATACTATTGTTACGCAAGGCTTTATTGTGTTTAGAGATATGCATATAAAAATAGCTGTAAAAATAGGAATATCAACTGGCATGGCAGGGATTAGTGAATGATTTTTGCCACAAGACGCCTGAATAAATATAATTTTCGGCCATTAGCAAACATTAATCGCCTTTCCCTTTCATGTGTTACATATCATGGGATTAAGTAAGTAATAAGGTGAAAATATTTATAATCCTTTCAGAACTTATACCTGGATAAACAGTTTTAAGTCGTCACTGATCTTAATGGTCGCACTTTTTAAAAAAATGTGCGTGTTGTAGGCCATTCAAGTTCTTATGTCAATCAATTGTGTTAAAAATGTTGCGCGGTTAAGCATGTAATCATCAAAAGTTCAATTCGATAAAATAAGAGTTGAAAATTGTTTAAGTTGAAAGATATTGTTCCCAGACGTATTGTTTGTAAATTTTAGTAGTTGTGGATGATAAATATTTAAAGTTGTGAACATTTTTATGATCTATCTAACACTATTTTAAGTTGTTTCCGTTCATTTCAAATTATTAACCAACGCGTTTTTCATATGCATGTGTACACGTATAGAAAATTTAAACGCTTCTAAATTTTTTATTATCTAACATCCAAGTTACATATAGGTTCTTTCCATTTTGTTAATGCAGCCCGTACAAATTTCGAAAATTATTCAGGATATATATCTTAAAGGATTTTCTCTCCAGGGTTTCCGAAATATAGCTACGCTAGCTTTAAGATTCAGTTTTGCTATAAAGAATCATATATACTTATCATAGGATTGGCTAAACACTAGCCTCGAGCTTAAATTTTATCATAATGATGGCCGGTTGCATGAATTAGCCGGGTATATAGCGTTATCCACCTGATAGTGATTTTTCAACCGATTTCATCCTTGCATGGAACCAACAATTATTAAAGAGGATCCTCGATTTATGAACAAGATTTAATGAAAATTGCAGCAAACAATGAGTGATTTTAACGATTGAAAAAAAAACGCTATCCGGCTTTCATAGAACCGGCCCCTGAAGCCAGTTGTTCGAAAGGCGTTTAGCTAAACGGTGAATAACATCAGAATATTTCAGATTAGTTAAGGTTAAAGCTAAACGCATTTGGAAACACCGGTCCAGGGGCTGGTTGTATCTAGCCCATTTAGCTTAAACGGTGGTTAAGCTCAATATAAAGCAAGTCTATCGTTTTATTCAACAAGCGAACTAAATGTTTTTTAGCTTAATACAAAGATATTGTTTACAACTACATATTCATGCAGTGCATAATATTGAAGTTGCCTCATTCAAGAGAGATGTAAGAGTGTTATTTTATTTTGACTTATCCACCGTTTGAGCTAAATGATACAATAATAACTTAAGGATACCTGACAAAAACAAGGCAATATTGTTTATATGAATGTCAAAGTCTAGTATGTTTTTTGGTGCATCCTACATGTACAAAGTGATCTAAGAAGAACTAAGTTTTAAATCAAGTTTCTGATAACGCAAAAAAGCCTGATTTCAAAGGAGCGTATAAATTTTGGGTCACCCAGATTCATAGCTAATTTTGCAATTTTTTTGCACGAACTGGTTTGGCACAAGACTGGGCTGGCTCATAAATATATGTGTAATTATGTAATAATTATCTGAATTAAAAGAACCTGTCCAGTTCATACGTCATGCATTGATCACAAATTCCTAACAAGGACCACATTCTTTTAAGGTCTGTTCACATGATCCAATTTTGTTGGATCCAATTCACTTCTAAGCAGTAAATCTACCAAAGCCAATTCAGTATTGCTTTTCGATAATATCAATAAAAATGTAATTGTTTTGGTTAAAGACTATAAATCCAAAAAGAATACTATATATCTTTTTAGTTGCCATTCTTTTTAATAAATTTAAAGCAAGATTATAAAGGTCGGGTTCCCTTCGAATGGCAGATTGATTTGGAAATCGCCCAAATTTGCTTTGACTCAAAACGTCCATGCAGTTTTAGAAGTGGCACATTCATGTTGCTTTATCAACTAAATGAAGCGGAGTTAAGGACTTTTATAAGTAAATGCAGATCCACAGGAGAATGTATGTATTTCAATGATAACGGCGCACAGAGTTCCATTAGACAGCATGCATCTATATAATTGACAGCTTCGACTGTTGTCTTTAATTCCCATATATATAGAGATTACTTCATGGTTGGCGAGTGCGTACGATTTTTATGCACGAGTTGTGAAGGATCGCAAAACGAACGAGTGAGCGCAGCGAACGAGTGAGTTTGCGATCCTTCGCAACGAGTTCATAATAAAAATCGTACAAACGAGCCAACCATTAAGTAATTTGTTTATTAAATGTGTATAGAGATCAATTTAACAACGACACGCTTTTAATATACAAAAACACAGCAAGCAACAAAACTGAATCGAAATTTTATGCATGAAAACATGTTTATTACCGTCAATTTCATTGTAATTTTGTTCAATAGAAGTTAGATATTCTTTCCGAAAGATTTGAGAATGTGCTGAATGTAAAAATATCTTGAATATGAGATTTTTGTTTTGAATTTCTCTCCTATATTTCGACGCCATCTTAAAAGAAAATGTAAACAAATTGCCGCCAAAATGACATACAGCAATTTTTCACGTGTGAAGAATATCGTACGTCCAATCAAAAGCCGTGTATGGCATTTTTCACACGTTAAAAACATCGTACGTGCAATCAAATTGCATGAAATTAATTTACACAGTGAAATACGATTTTTATTTCATCATTCTGCAGTGCATAAATTTCTATACACATGTAATAATATTGTATATACCTAACATAGCGGCAGATATAACGTCATGCATAGATGGAAATTGCGTCGAATTGTAAAGTCGAGTTTGATCCAACATCCAACTACTATGACGTTATGTGCAAAGCATATCATAATGAATTCTTTTATCCTATCGAGGTGCCGAATTCTTTGGAGCAAAGATGCGCACGAGAATTGTGTCCTTGATAAAGGTCAGCGTCATTCTCAACATCATTGAATATTTGTCTATTCTTAAGTAACCGCTACCTTTGACCTCACTTGCCACATATAGACTACAGTATATGAGATATTGCCAGGTTTTGCTCTAAATATTTAATCAGCGTTCGCTGACAATTAACACCGAATGAATTAAAAATAGGTCACATTGGTCTTGAAAATGCCCGCGACATCATTTGGGCGCAACACTTGAAGAAAAACGTTCACTTCACAATAATTGTAAAAAATAAGAATGTTTGATTTGCATATTATTGTTGACAGAGAGAAATTTCTCTATATTTATATTTCATGCATTGATCCAAGATATCTAAACATATAGTTCGCCGAATAGAAACGGAAGTGCTCCAAAACGCTTGAGTATATTTTCAAAGTAGCTTTATTTCACCTAAGTATAGATATGCCACTTCGTTTACCACAACAGGTGTATGTCTGTAAGACATACTCGAATGCCACGGGGGTTGTCAAAACTGGCATCACTTTTTAATTGCATGAAAAAATTTCTAAAGCTGTAGACTTATTTCACCAAATAAAAAAGCAGAAAGTGCTTGTAAACACTTGGCCAGTTGTGCGTAAATCAGACAGTTTTAAGACATCAAAAATGTTGTGGTAAACCAAGTCAACTATTACGCCAAGTTTTAATTACGACAAACTCCGGAAGTCTGGCGACGTTTGCATTCCCGAAAGAACGGCAGTCGCGAGAAATCAAATTGATTAATATCGCGAATTTAAATCAGTTGTCCAGTGATAAAATATTCAGGCATTTCTGCATGGCATGGCAATTTTGCATGCCAACGGTTATTAATTTTACAACGTCTGAACAGGTGAACGAAGATTAATTATGCATATAGTGATACTTTCTAAAATGGCTGTGCATGTCCTGTTAAAATGCCGCGTACCCCAATAGCATTTCTGTTTATCAACGGCCATATGCAACTAAAATATCTGAACTTCTGTTGTGGTAAACCAATTTTATCTCAAGATATCATTTTCGCTGTCGACGACTAAAGAGTTTATATTAATAACACATAACTTTGGACGGCTATTGCGGTTTTAATAAAACATTTCAGCTCATCTCCCTTGGCCATATTTCCGTGGCAACGGTCACATATAACATCTAAACAGTACCTGGGCTGCGCTGGGGGCAAATGTATAAAAGACTAGTTAACTTTTAACTGTAGTTATAAGGACAGAATTAGTCATTGTTTATTTCTTTCAGTTAACCATAGGATTTAACTATATATGCAAAGTGTAGTTATAAAGAGAGTTTCATATACAACCGGTGAAATGACTAACCGATGTGACCAGTTTTTGCTGTCAATAGTTAAAAAGTTTATATTAAGACGAGATTTTTTATTATGTCGCGTATTTTGGCGGGAAAACGCTCAAAACCAAAAATCTTTTCGGCGTACCGCTCAAAATTAATTTATTTTACCTTTAATCTTTAGATTATGTTGTGAACTAAGTTTTGAACTGTATTTGGTGAATGCAAAACACCAAACAAAGGAGTTATTACAAAATATAATGCGGCTATTATATAATGTCAACGCCATTATAACTGAAATGAATACAAAAGAAGCTTCGATTCAAGTGTCATTTTCTTCTCGGCGTATCCCGAGAAATCTTTTCATTTTCATAATATTTTGAGATTATATAGTAAACATACTTTGTGGATGCTTTTCAGGTTTGCAAAACATTTTTAATGCTGAAAATTTTAGTGCTGTTGCATGAAGATATAACTGAGGTTTTGAGCATATATTACGCGACATAGAAAAATATCTCCTCTTAATGAATTAATAACACAAAACATTGAACTGTTGTTGTGATTTTGATAAAACACCTCCTTGGTATTGCATGGCAACGGTCACACATAAAATCTAAACACCTGCTGTGGTCAACCAAGTTGCTAATTAACTAATAAGATAGCTAATTCACGTGACAGTCAACTGATGAGACCAACCAATGAA